TACTAATGCTGTGCCTGCCGACCAATAAAAACCCACACCATGACTGCAAATACTTTTGGGGAATGCCACCTGCATTTCATGTTATTGATCGATCCGGCAGACGCTTTCCGGCCTAACAAGTCTCCTGTTCATACTAACTCGTGAAAATCAAAAACGCGATGGTAGTTTTGTCTTCTAAACCATATCAACCAGTTGTTGCAAACATGAATCAGAGTACATCTAGTTTTTGGCTATTACAATCAAGCTTGGTGCATGCTTTTTCTCTATCTGGTATACGGTGACAAAACTGGAACAGAACCTTAAGAGTCCAGTATGAAAATTAGGGGGAACACTTTCGGAATGTGTATAGGATTCAAGTCAGCAGATTTTTCGCACACACGACTCGACTTGTTGCCTGACCAGTATAGCCTCGATGAGCTCAAAACAGTGCAAGTGAGATTGTGCAACACAAGTGTGATTGATGCGCACGTGAGAGAAATAACACATTTTCAGCAGATGGTGAGTATTGGCTGAAGTTGAGGCGTGTTTGGCGTGTGGACTGGCCTCTAGGTTTGGTCGGTCAGTTTAAGTAAGATATGCGGCCCATGTTGGTGACCAGAGTCCCTCGATTTTGCAGATGAAAGTGGTAAGGCAACTGAGATGAACTCCCATAATTACCACAATTTCCATAAACACGTTGATGTACTTCTACTGATGTGGCTTACGAAGCTGTCTGACAATGAAGAATCAGTTAATATCAAAATAATAATAATAGCACTATTCACTTGTTTGATAGTGGCTATACCACAATTTCCATAAACACGTTGATGTACTTCTACTGATGTGGCTTACGAAGCTGTCTGACAATGAAGAATCAGTTAATATCAAAATAATAATAATAGCACTATTCACTTGTTTGATTAGTGGCTATAAATGGCACCAATGCCGATCAAACTTTCAGTTCCCAGACCCCAGGCTGAACCAGTAAATCGGATGAACGCAGCTGAGCAAGCATATGAGTTACTATGTATGTTGCAAGTAGTATGAAAGCATGAAAAAATACTTAGAAATTCCGTAAGCTCATTTTGCCAGACATACATCAGGTGGCTTTACTACCTGAGGTATCTGACATCCGTCTCCTTCATCAACTATTCCTTTTTGACGTTCGGCTCCGATACTCCGAAACGTCAGCTAATTACGCTTGGTTATACAGATCCGGATTGAAGCCAGGATGTACATCTAATCTAATCCTCAAAATGTTTTCCCTAGGTCATTCCAAAGCATCTCGGTTAAATAAAGAATTAAGTATAACCTCTGAAATGTTTCAACACCATTTGCTGCCCGTGAGTGGGTGCAGATCAACCAAGAATTTGAACTTAACTAAGTACGCCCAGTTCTCATGAATTCGACAGAATGACAATCATTCTCTGTAGGAAACCCGTGACTGGAAATATATATTGTCAGAAAAGTCTCAAAATTGTAGGTCTGACAGAATGATGAAATGCTCCTTTCCCTGCCTAGAGAAGACATCCATCGAAACGTACTTAAACTGAATTACCTCTAAATAACGCCTCACTAGTAGCCAAATTTCTTCATTACATTTGGAAGCCATGTTCGCGCCATCCTGAAAAGTGAGGAAATAAGGGAAGGCAAGTGAGCACCGGAAATTACGTAGTTCAGTCTAGTTTCACGACATTTATCTAATGGAATGCAGTTATCTTGAACGAATTTTCGGACAGTGATGTT